CTTGTTTTTAGAGATCCTCTGTTTCTAAGTTTTAAGTCTTAAAGGTTTCCTGCTTTGTTCTCTTTGCTAATCTGTGTTCCTGTAGATGTAGAGAACTTTAGTTTCCATCCTGCAGATGATGGTCTTCATCAGAACAAGCAGACAGCAGGTCATTGAGCTGCTTTTGTTTTTCTCTTCCAGAAGCAAACATCAGCTCGTCCATCCAGGTGGACTCCACAGCCAGAGGCTCTGCTGCAGCCTGGGCCATCCTGCCTGTCTGTAAGTACAGAGAAACATCAGCTTCAAACTCCAGCCCTTATCTGACCTTTGACCCCCACTGCAGTGCTGCTGGCCATGGCCGGGGCGGGCGCCTACCTGATGTGGAGGAACTGGCAGCTGAAAAACCATAAGAGCATGAACTTCGACAACCCAGTCTACCTTAAAACCACAGAAGAAGACCTAAACATTGACATCACTCGCCACGGCGCCAACGTAGGCCACACCTACCCAGCGGTGAGTTGGTTTCATCACAACCAGCTGGAGATTAGGAACCTGTTCCTGCAGCAGTTTTCCTCCCGATGGCGACTCGTCCTCCAAACTTAACCTTATGCTCCGTTAATCCCGTGTTTGTTGACTGGAGCGCATCTCTCAGATTAAACAGATTAACTCTGAGCTACTAGGAGGCTGAAACCTCACATCTGCAGCAGATGCACTCGTTTCACCTCTAAATGAGGCCGGGATCAAATATGGAGCCAAGAGGAGTAGAAACAGTTCAGCCTGTTGGAAAATTCAGAAAAATATCCTGAAGTAGATGATGGGAGTTAATGGAGAAATAAAAAGGCATATTTTCCCTCAAAGCTGTTTAGACTTTGAGCAAATATCAATGTCTCTGAGGCAGAATCGCTCACCTCGGTGCTCGGATATGTTGATAAGACTTTAAAAGATGCTTCGTCTTCATATGAAAATATTTTAGGATCCTTTTATATCAAGTAGTTTCATAAGTGGGGATAATTTGTCTAATAGAAAAGAGGATACAAAAAAAAGGAGAGAATTTTGTTCCATTATTGCTGGAATGAAGAGTTTTGCAAATAAAATTATGAAAAGAAACTTGATCAAAAAA